GAGAATTTGCTACCTTTCTATGATCAAAAAATGGATAGATATTCTAGTCTTCTCAGATAAGGACGAATAAACCGTAGGCCCTGTCTCCAGCAGGGTTAGGGGTAGGAGACGTTAATTTCCCACGCACAAGATTACTGTGTGGTGGATGTCCTCCCCTGGGGTGGGATGGGTGGGAATTGGCCCTGAAAAGCCCCTATGGGGAGTGGTCAAGTAATGTAGGTATGACCAAAATAAATCCTTGTAGGCTTTAAAGTCCATTGCTGAAAAAAATGTGTAAAAAACAGAAAAGAAATCAAAGATCACATGGATTGTTTCCACCATATTTTTGCCCTGTTCTACAGTGTAATTCCATTGCATATTTTGTACATTCCATAGCCTTAATGCACTAAAATAATGTATCAATGAAATAATAAAGTCTAGAATTTCTCAATAACACACTACAGGCATGGACTGGGTTTCAAAGTGCAATCTGCTTAATTTCATGTGCATTAAAATAATTAGCAGAGTTAACATGTATTTATGCAATTACTTAAAAAAAAAATGACTTGAAATGAATTAGTAACCCTTGATTCCCTGAGAGTGACCAACAGCTGATTTCTCCAAACAATATCACTGCTGATTCAAACATTAAGGTCACAGGAATTAAGCAAACAATCACCCATTTATCAATTGTCACACAAATTGTCTGTGTCAGTATCATAGAAAATGTATGGAGAATGGTATAGCAACCATTCATGTAAAAGCATATTGATTTTGGGATATAAAGGGTGACATGACTGGAATCAGTATTACATACATCATTGGCAAAAAACTGCCATGTAAATCAGCATTAATTTTTTCCTTCCTTAACACTGTCTTCCAAACAATTTTATGATGCTAATTGAGAGAATGAATAATCCTCTAATTGGAATTTCTTTTTATTCTCATCACATATTTGTTTGATATTGTGTTGATATAGTAAGGAGAAATTCTGTCTTGGACACGATCATAATAATAATAATAACAATAATAATAATAATAATAATAATAATAATAACACCTTTTAATTATTTAGACACAGTAATGTTTAAAGCTGGACAGCTTGCGGGGTCGTGTGTAAATCCAAATAAACTCTAAATTAAATAAATTAATGGAAGTTAAGAGTAACAATTGCTTGGGTCTTTTATTCATTATTTGAATTACCAATTAAATACACATGTATTTCAAACCTAAGGAGCTTTTCATCTTGTGTAATAACATTTATGTAGCTTCCAAGTGTATTTTCCTTCAGTCCTTGTCTTATCCAAGCCAAACATTTCTCCTGTTCACATTTCAGTTGTAGTCTGTTTAAAAAAAAAAAGGCAAAAAAAATCAAAACAATTACCTGGTTATGTGTTGCTCAATTTGAAGCATTACCATTTCCCCCCACCCCTCCATTCCAGGCAAACCACTGGCATTTGACTGGGTGGAGTTGGGATATTTGAACCAGCAGACTACATGTCATGTGTTTTTATATTAAATTTAGACGAGTTAAAGGTAAAGAGGTTACTTCCATGAGCCAATGGCTCGGAGAAAAATTTAACAGCATTGAATGATGCTTACAAATGAAAAACCCAACAGTTGCACTGTCAAAAACTAGTACTTGGCTTTGCTTAATTTGTTGATCACACAGAGAATCATTCAAAAAAAAATTGTGCTTGGAATTAGAACAAACCAATCTCCAAAAGTTGAAAAGCAAAGGAGTTAAGTTGAAGCTTTGAATTGATTGATGTATTACAACAATTTCCACTTGTATAAAGAGGAGATACATCCTGCATGTGTCTCAAAAATTTAAAATTTTGCAATGCATTGATCTAAGTACATCCCTTTAAGTATCTTGGTCTTGGTACCTCTTGATATCTTCAATATCTTTTTTACAAGTAATATTGTTTGCCAGTGACCAAAAGGAAACTTGGTTGCTAGAAGCCCAGCTCAGCAGCCTGCAAGAAACAAATCAATTAATTAATTTGAGACTGTTAGGCAGACTGGTCAATGAATTCAACTGATCCAAAGTGTAAGAATGTATTATGATGAGTGCATCATAGAGACTTCACTTGGAACATAATTATACAAACCCTTCCTTAAGTCCATGATTAAAGACGTCCTCCATACAGAAACATAATTTGTCAACAGCACTGCAATTCCATATCACGCTGTACCCTTGAGCAACACGCCCTTGAATCTGAGAAATGCAAATGTTGAAGATTTTTTGTACCCTTGGGCATGCCTTGTATTTCAGTTGTTCTTTTAAGCAATTCGAATAAAAACATGGAGCTAGCATTTACTATGACTCGCATTGTGTTACATTGTTAAGCTAGACACTCAATTTCAAAGAGCTTAACTCCACTTAAATATACATGACTTGTCTGTGGAATCAAAGTGGCAAATTTTAGGGGAAACTTATCCAAGTGCTGGGTTTAAGAACAAATTGAATTGAGACACATAACGTATTCCCAATTTCCCTGGGACTTTCCATTATAGTAAATTTCTTCTGGTTTCAAAAGTTTACTGCCACTTTCCTGCCACTATTTTACCCCCCTTGAGTGATATCCTTGGATATCCCTGATTTCAGCTGAGGAATATAAGATCATACGATGCATTTGGACAAATTGTGCACAAACAAAATTATTTGATGGATCATAATGAGGGATACTCTTCAAGTTTTCAGCCCAATAAATTCACAGAAAGCAAACTGGTTTGCTTCCATTCTCAGCTTCTTTGAAGGGATTGAATACAAGCAATACTCAAGCAAAAATTTAATGGACTGACACTTGACTAGCTTTGGAGTTTAAGAAAAAAAAGAGAATTTAATAGAATTACTGAATGTGATACTCAATCTGGTAAACCAAGATTATCTGGTGGTTATTGTGGATATTTACATATATGAACTCATCACATTATTTCCTATGAAAGTGGTTGAAAGTAGTTAAAAGTAGTTTCAAACTGCCATTGCAAGGATCTAAAACAGTCAAGAAACTGCCTCCCTGTTAGCTCAATGGATAGAGCGCTGGACTGTTGTGCGGGAGGTTGAGGGTTCAAGCCCCGGCCGGACCAACACTCAAGGTCTTACAATAATTGAGAATAATATGCTACCTTTCTATAACATCAAGTAATGGTTAAATATTCTAGTCTTCTTGGATAAGGACGAATAAATAGAGGTCCCATCCCCGTTAATTTCCCACGCACGAGATTACTGTGTGATGGATGTCCTCCCCTGGGGTGGGATGGGTGGGATTTATTGGGTGGACTACTCGCATGGTTCGCATATGTTCCATTTTAGTCCTACTGCAATAATGCAGTGAAAATGGTTAGAAAAAAAAAATCGATGTTGAATTGCCTGTTACAGTGCTTTCTTCTTTCAAATCCTAAAAACATCTAGTTCAAGTTTTGATACTTTTTGCCTTTCTTCTCATCACAAGTGAATGTGAAAGTGACATTGCATATAAGCACGTGAATCGATCACAGCCAAAATACTAAACTTGAATTGCGGAAGGAAGTTTCTACATTAAAGGCTCACCTGTGAAAGATGTTTCAATATTTCAATTACATTCCATTAATGTTAAAAATGATACCTGCCTCTTAGTTATAATTTCCCAATTACAATACCAAGTCAGCTGATAGGTAATCTTCCTCTATCAATTTTAACTGGAGATCTTCCAAAAGGAAGATTTTGTTCTGAAACGTCAAGAGAACGATGCTTATGGGAATGCTTTTAAAATTAATCTTACCTCTTGAACTGCACAAGATAGATTTTGAAACAGTTCGTCACGTTCAGAATCGTGCGAGTCCTGCATGTCATTAGACTCCAAACTTAACGCTGTTCAAGTCTGTGCGAATCGCGAACGGATCGTGTTACCAGGCCACACACACAAAAAAACACAGCTGATGAAGGGTCGTATCATATTCCATGTGGATATTAACGTCGACTACACCTTAATGGAAAGTGGTTCTTCATAAGCAATTATATTTTACCCTACGCCGAATATCAGCAACACTCCTGGCCGGTGTGACTTTTAGAACAATCAAGTTTGACATGAGATTGAGCCGATGACGCAACGAGAAGAAACACAACACGTTAGTTAGTAGTTCGGCGACGAGGTTGATCCTGAGCTGTATAGAGTTAAGCGAAGCCGTTTTGCGTGCGAGACAGCTTCAACGACAACATCTACTGTTGTTGTTGAGTTTTTCAAAGAAAATCTCGCGCCTTTCGAACAAAAGTAATGACGGCCATTTCTGTTTCAAATCCGGGAGCTTTGGACTTGAAACAACGCTGGCCAAAGGTTGTAAGGAAAGACGGCTCAAGTTCAACATGGCGGTCCCAGAAGAAGCGCTCAAAGTTTGTGAGACTTTGGAAGGGATTTTGAAGGGAACATTTGGACCGAACGGACTTGATGTCATGCTGAATTCATCTTCAGGAGAAACACTTGTTACCAATAATGGTGCGCTAATTTTGAGATCCTTGAATATAGAAAATCCTATCGGTCGAACTATTGTCGACAAAATTGTTTCCTTCTCCTCAATCTCTGGAGACGGCGCAACGTCATTCGTGTTGCTTTTATCATCAGTTCTACGGGAAGTTGTTTCTATTACAGGAATGAGAGATAATTATGTTCCCAACGAAACTTTATCAATTCACCCAAGACAAACTTTAGTCGCTTTATCTCGAGCTTTTTACAAACTTGAATCAAACTTACTTGAACACGAAGTTGTTGCTTCAGTTCTGAACGGGATCGCAGTAACTACGGATGTCAAGGCCGAGGATTCCTCGCTTATAAAACAGAGAATGATTAGACTTCTTATCACAACGCTTAATGGAAAATTTCCGTCCAGTTTGGTTTCGAACTTTGTTGAACTTCTTTGCCAGGTTGTTATGGATACTTGGAAATCATCAGCTGTTTCCCTGCAGGACTCACTTTTACATGTAATTGATGAATTTGCTCAGATCTGTATAGAAATTCCTGGTGTTCCAGTTTATTCTTCCCATTTGAAAACTGGAATAATAATACCACGTGGATTTTCCACTGAACAAGAAGGAGTGCTTAAAACTTCTCATGCATTCATGTTTGTTATCATGAACTGTAGGTTTGACTTCTTGGGACCACAGACATCATCAACAATTCAAATGAATGATAAAACCATTTTATTTTTAAGTGTTCAGTGGAAAAGAAACCAAGTAGAAAAAGTAATCACCACATTTCATGAACATAAAATTAAACTGATTCTGTCCTCAGAGGATGTACCAGACTTAGCCTTGCATTTCTGCAGGCAGTATGGCATTGCTGTAGTTAGCAACATTCCTCAGGAGTATGTCAACTACATATGCAAGTGTACAGGAATGCTTGCCATCAACAATGTTGGTGAAGACAGTCTATCAGAACTCTTTGTTGGAAAGGGTGTTTCGTGTGATCTTCACATAACAGGTCATCATAGATTTGTCCAGCTTGAGTTCGATTTATCAAGCTGCAAATTCTCTCCTTGCAGCATACTGCTTTGTTCTCCAGCACAAGGATTATGTAAGCAGTATTACATTGCCCTTCACCATGCACTAAAATGTATCAAAATGTCTTTTAGCAAAGATGGAAGGAAGTTACTCTTTCTTCCAGGTGCTGGTGCATGTGAACTGGCCTTAAATTTTTCTTTGAAAAAAATTTCTCAGTGTGCAAAAGACTCAAATTTATCACAGGCTTTGGAAATCCTGAGCAGTGCATTGCAAACCATACCAAGGTTCCTCCATCAAAATTCATTTTCCATGTCTCATCAAAAGGAAAACTTCATTTACTGTTTGAATGAGATGGAGTGGTCTTGGAAGAAAGATGGATTGTTGTTAGGGATAGATTCAAAGACAGGTACATCATTAAATCCTCAAGAGTGTGAGATTTTTGAGCCTCTTCAAGGAAAATTCTTGCTCTGGCAGAGTGTCTTGCAATGCATATCACAACTTCTGAGTACAGATAAGCTTATTGGTGTAAGAAAAATAAATGGTGGTTTCTGAGGAATAAAATACAATTTTATTTTAAAAACAGACCCCTTTGGAAAGCTGCTGTCATTGTTTTGGAAAAAGGGATCAAACCGTGATTCAGAATTTTTTTTTTCAAATTTTAATAGGGTGATTATTAGTTTTATAAATAACTAAACAAACCAATTCATAAGTAAACAGCTGAACAAGTAGATGAAAACAGAGATGCCAATGTGTGGGAATGTGAAACCTAAAGATGTTTGACAATGTTATCCTTGCAGTGCACCCCTCTCCCTTAATTTTATTAGTTGAACATTTTTGCAGTCTCTGCTCACTGAAAATCACTGCAGTAGAAGCACATGATCTAAATTGGGAAAAATAAAAAAAATGTTTCAAGTATGACTATCCTTGAAAAGAAAGAAAAACAATTATTTTTAATGGCAATAAATCCAACCTTTGTATAGTGGTAAAGTGGGGTCCTGCTCACATTTAATGTGCATCAAAAAGTAGAAATAATGTATCACGGAAAATCCTTAAACAACCTTAAAGTTAATGCTTCACAGTCCTCGGGGTTTTAATTTCTTATTTTCACTGGTTATGAAAACTAAAAAAACACTTAATCCTATATCACATAATAGCTCCTTCCCCCCTCTTTATATAAGGAATATTAAATTTTTCATTCATCTAGGAATTTTTGTGAATTGTACAGGAAATCAGGAGATTCATTCTGTACTTGGAAGAGGTAACACGCCGCGAGCAGTTCATTTGATAACAGCAACAGCGAGCAGCCGCCTTGCACAAAAACGGTCAGCGGCTTCGCGGTCAAAGTTAAACATGGCGGCCAAACGTAAGGTAGAGGATGACATTGATCTTGAAAATATATCAACTTTGCAGCCTAAAAGGCAGGGAACTACAACAACACACGAAAAAACGACTGTTCATAGCACGGATTCTTCATTTTTCCCACAGTTTTACGAACAACGCGGTCCTTGGATAGCTATGTTCGACTGGAATAGTGGACTCTACTACTATCAAAACATTAGCGATTATAGAACTCAATGGGAGAAACCGACTGAGTGGGATTCTATTCATCCTCTGTTTATTCCAGCGAACCAATATTATTATCAAGGATTTTATAACGGAACAGCAGATGGTACAACGAACAATGATCATCCGAAGGAAAATGTAAAACAAACTGCCACTGATTTAGAAGCTAAGGTTGAGAGACTGCTAACGAGGCCAGCTCGTCGACAGATCGATCCTGAAGAAAAAGAAAAGTTGCACTGGATTCCCGAAGGGGCCACAGAGTACAATATATGGTACGATCGATGGGTAGGAGAACACTGGCGGAACGACAAAGATCACGGTTAGTGATGAGAAAGACTTCTGACACCTTGGAAGGGAATGCATTGGGTAACATTGCTTCTAGCCATGCGAGCCCCCAATGTTCCTTTCCCTAACCCTAACCGCTGTAATATCAGGGCTTCACATGGTTTGAAGCAATATTATTTAGTGCTATCTCTTAGGAAGGGGTTGGGAAAGGGAAGCCCAAATACTTCCTGGACATTTCTTAAACATGGATGTTTGCCATGGGATTGGTTACCTACTCCATGAGTACACAAGGGTGTGAGGCATGGACACTTAGAAAGACTATCTTGAAAGAATCAATGTATTAGAAAGGAAGTGTTATCAAATAATATTCCGTGGATAGATTCCGAAACAAAAAAGTCAACAAGAGAAGGACTTTGAGAAGAAAAAAAATCCCTATACTGCTACTTTAAGTGGAAAGGGTTTATATGAAAAGGAGTGATGAATAGCCCTTATTGCATTTACGCCCACTGTACGAGAGCTCAGCAGACTTTGAAGTTTCGAAATGAGGTTATCGGGTCACACAGGTAAAACTTTCAAGTAAAATCGAAGCAGGCAGCTACGTTTGGAGGCATTTTTATTCATTTTCTTAAGGATACAGTGTGCTCTCGTCATGGTTAGACATTGTATTGCGTACGGGTGCAACAGTCTATTCAGTGAATCAGCAACTGATGAGATCCACAAGATTAGGATCGAAACCGTGGTCTTGCCAAACATGCTCAACTATCAAACTAGAGGCGAACAAAACGCACATAAAAAACCTCTCAAATAAAGAACTTACAAACGACCAGATTAATTTACTGACAAAAGGGCTTAAATTCATTCCAACACCCACTACAAAACAAAAACAGATCAGACAAGAACTATTGGGTGACTTTGATCAGTTCACAAGGAGAATGCGTCTGATTTACACATTCTGAGGGGAAGACAAAAAAAACCCATCCCTGCCACGTCAAATCTACATGGTTACCACGAATGCAAAAATCAGTAGCCCTTGAAAGCTATTTAGAAGAGGTTAAAAGTGACCTTTCAGAAATAGAAATTACAAAGCCAAAAGATAATTTGCTTCCAGCCAAACGCAAGGCGCTTAGGGCCTTGAAACGTGACTCTGAGTTAAACCTCAAAAAGGCCAACAAAGAAACAATAACCGTAGTCATGAACAAACGCGACAAAATTTTGCCATTTCTTTCTAAAATTACAACCATTCTTTCAATTTTCCTTTCGTGATGCCAGGACAATTACCACTAAGAATTTTAACCTTTTCCTCGGCAGAGAAAAACGCAGATTCTAGAGTTATACGATCAGACATAGAGTGTTTCTGGTGTTTCTCGAGAAACATTGACCTGCTAACCTTGTCCTGAAACTGTAACTCCGTGGACCCTTTGCATTGCAGACACAAATGCGATAAGGGCTATTAGGACAGCGTAGAAGTTAAGAGGAGTAAATAGGAAAAGGGAAGTGTGGAAACAAAGCCAGAAATTGAAATGGGAGATATATACAACACATTCAATTGCAACAGATCTATTCAAGTATTCAAGTGTAAGACTGAATTTTTTTTTCAGTGGAGTGGCAATTATGAAACAACATTTGCTAGGCTATCAAGAGAAAGAGAGAAACTTAAGACTTGACTAGAAACTGCGTAACCTTTTTCACTTGTTTTGTAATAGGGCCATCGGAGACGAAATGCTGCATAGAAACAGATGCAGGATTCACCAAGGCAAATATTTATGATCCTGGTGGAAACAAGCATTATTACTGCATTTATTTTGCCAAAGGCTCTTGTCATCTGGGTTCTGAATGTGGTTATCTGCATGTTATACCTACTGATAAAGATGATAAGAGGTCAGTGGTAATAATATTAGCATGCTTATAATTATAATAAAGTTATTAGCAGGTGTACATTGACTGAGTTGTACATTTGTAGTGATACACACTAGCCATATCAGATGGATGTTATATTGAACGTGTCTTAATTAGGCAGAGGTTTAACAATGGAATTTGCTTTCCTAACTTATCTAGAATCGATCTAGCCCATGATGTTTTTGGCCGAGAACGTCATCGACTTCACAAGGAAGACATGGGAGGGGTTGGTACATTTGACAAAGAATGTAGAACACTTTACGTAGGAGGCCTGGGCTGTCGAACAACTCTGGAGAAACTTTTGTGGAAGGAGTTTGGGGAGTGGGGTGAAATTGAGGTTAATGTCACATTTTTATGCTCTTCAGGCATCTCTTTAAGTTGGACATGTTAGAATTGCATGACTAATTTGAACAAATAGGTGGCTTATAGTTAAATTGATACAAAATAAATTGTTTATCAAAAGAATACGGGGTTAGAAAATAGTGATGCTTTTTTGAAGTACATTTTCTAGATATGCTGAACTTTGGTTTGAAGTTTATTGACCTTTTATTTCTCAAACAATTAAAGTGAGAAAAAAACATTTGAATTGGTTTTAAATTTAAGTTTTTTTTCTCACCCATTGATTTTGTGGTGAATTTTTCTCAGTGGACATGGACTTAAAATTGCCTTGGTACTTTAAAAGTAATTGTTTTTGTTTTATACAAATTCTGCAGGACATAAGAATAATACACAAACGCAACATAGCATTTGTACGTTACAAGAACAGAGTAAATGCTGAATTTGCGAAGGTGAGAGAAAGGAGTTCAATGATAGGTTATCTTTTTCTCCTGTGCGCTGTCCGTCATTTGTCGTGTAACATAAAAATGTGTTAAGATTTAATTTTTGTGGGTTTGGTGGATAGTCCTTGCTTTGGAAAGATAAGTTCCTGCAGAAAAATTATGTTGAAAAATAAAATAACGCCATAAATGCAGAGAGCCTGTGACAATAGCTAATGAGTTACAATGCAGTTTGCACTTTTATAAGAAAACCATGTCAGATTATTTGTTTCTTTAGATTGCCATGTCAGATCAAAAGCTGGACAACAGAGAGTTGCTGAATGTACGGTGGGCTTACGACGATCCGAATCCAAAAGCACGAAGAGAGGTACTCCACTAGCTCATTACTAGTCTGTTTGTCAGCTACTGTTAAACTAGGCATCTTTTCTCTTCTTTTTGAGTTGGTGAGAAAAAACAGAGAGACGGAATTCTGTAAAAGTCTAAGGTGGATGATGGAAAATTTTAAACTAAAATTTGCTTCATGTTCGTTCAGGAGTTGTTGCGATCTAAACATAGAGTGCTTGAGGCGGCCACAGAACGAGGGTTACTTCAGAAAGCTCTGTCACGTCCCACTCAGCCATCAGGTGCTCAGGTAACAGGGCCTTATCCGAACACAGACAATCAGTACCCTGTGGAATCCGGCCCTTTGACAAGGGAGCAAGTTGAGCAGGTATAGCAGTCACTTAAATCCACCAGAGAGTTGTAATCATTTAATTATTAAGTCTCAAAGATTTTTCAATCTCCCCACTGAAACATACATTGGTAATGATTGATTTAGAGGAAAACGTTTAAAAAATTTTGCAATCGTTCCGTCAACTTCAGATACTGTTTTAAAAACGACTTTTCTCTGCTCCCGGTTATAACCTGAAATAGCATAACCGGCACAGAATATTTTACTAATGTTCCGCCCAGCGCATTAAGAACGTTTATTCAAATAATCACGCCTCACCGATGGAACACTAGAAGCAGTCGTCTTATTGGTATTGAAGCATTGGACATAGCGACGCGGTCCTCTGATCTTGTTAATTACTGATTATCAAACACTTAACTGAATTCCTCTCATTCATTTCAATGTTTTAAGTTATTTATTCTTAGATTTTGTTACATTTCAACAATTAAGAAGGGTTTTTTTTTTACGAAATATTGAGTAAATTAACTACTGAAAATGTCTTGATAATTCTATCGCCAAATTATAACTATATTTTTTTTCTTTAGGCCGAGGTTCTCCAAAATGTTTACACAGATTGTACGAGGTTAGACGAAGCCCTCAAGAAAGTAGAGGCTCTCTATCCTGAAAACACAAAGAAAAGTGATGAAGAAACCACTCAGCTTTCTGAATACAGCAACAATGAAAATGGTCAAACCTCAGAGGCATATTGGAATTGTTCTGATTATTATAATGGGTGTAGTAATTACGATTACGGACAGGCGTGGGACTATTCACATCATAATTTTCAGACTGAAGGTTACTCTACCGAAGATCCTTACAGGAAAGTTATCTTAAGCAAAGAAGCAGACTCAGATTCACCTTCTAACAGCTAAGATTCTGTATCCACGAAAATATCAATGTTCGAACAAATCTCTCGAGTATCGACCGATCGATCTCGTAACCTGATCGTGGACCAAAGGGGATGATATGGTTGCCGAGAAGGGAATACAGTGCAGTACAAACATGTGCGGACTTTTGGCAGGGTCTTAAATGCACCTGGTCACCTTTTGTACAAAGAATGATGCAGGTGTCACCCTTGTACTAGAGGATCTCAAAATAAAAATTGAGCCTCTCTCTGGTCAACTGTGGGTGTTGTCATACCGCACACCCACACTTGTCTGCCTGTCCTCTGGCATTCTTGAGTTTTGTTATAAATGATATCAGAAAAGAAAGATTCCATGTGGTGTAATTCAAACGAGTTATCACGATTATTAATTCTGCCCGCCCCCCCCCCATTCCTCTTTAAACTCGGTCGTGAGCCAAGATGGCGGCCGATTTTCCGTATTTTGACTGGCACAGAAAATTGAAGATTTGAGCAAATAAAAAAATTTTTGCACAGAAATACTCCAAATAATACGCATATTTCGTTAAGCGAAAAAAATTTTGGGTTTAGGTACACTTCAACGAATTGCCGCAGGGTTTAATGTTAAGCAAAGGACATCGAACAATCGCGTTAATCGGTGGGATCATGGCGTTCATTAGAATTTTTTGCCCAACGTGATCCTTTTGTGCCATTTGCAATCGACCATTCTCGCATATATTAGTTATAGGTTAGCATTTTGTTCGTATTAAGTTTTTTTTCATTCCTCAGAGAGTGTGGTTCGCTTAAGGTTTGGTCTTGTAACCGAGTGAAATAGAATAAAATGTTTTTCTGGTAAACAAGGACATTAACTAGAGAGCGAACGTAAAATTGACAACATTATTGACTTGTGGAGTCAGGGCGCTTTTCTTCTCTTGGGGATATGCCATTGCTTTTCTATTAGATCTTAGAATCCCACTGTCCAAGAACAATGAGAAACCAAAATCACACAAAAAGCCTTTCCTTCTCCTCTGACCATTCCTTTGGAGCTTTTTCATTCGACTGAAGGCAGGAACATGTGACCGAACCACTAGACGAATCTCAACCGATTGGTTGACGCTAAAGCGCAGTAAATCAGTCGGCCTCGTTTTCTCTCCGCGCTAATTTCAGGTCTCCAGAATATTTACTTTTATGCCCTCAAATTTAGACGGGTAGCGGGGCAGATGTCAGCACAATCTTACTCCATGTCGCCCCATCCGCATACCTGACGGCCTGATACAATTAATGGGTTACCAAAAGGAAG